ACGCCTTGTCGAAGACTTGGCAGTGTTTCAGGTCATTGGAAAGTTGACCGAAACTACACAGATGTATCGACATTTACTGGTCGGTTGCAATCCCGCTGATAAATTGCACGTTATTATTTTCGCGCAAACTGCACGTGCTCATCGATTTAATGACGAACGTTCATATAAATATTAATAGCTATTTACTAGAAAACATGCAGCCATCGTTGCTCAAATTTAGAATTGACAATTTAAACTAATTACGTGAGTCTCTCTAAATTAAAATGTCGAAAATGTGTAACAATACTGATTTCTATTTTATTTGTTTTTATTTATTGTTATTTTATGTATTCAGTTTTAATACAAAGTTGTAATTGTTACTCACTATAAATTGTTTGGAGTGAAATCTCACAAAAAAGTGAGACGAAATTGAATCTTACGGCTATAATAAGCGTTCGATGCAATTATAAAATTATCGGTCCTGCAATAGATTACATGAGTAATGATAAACAATGCAGAAATGATTTAATCAGGATCGTGACGCGACGCGGCGATGTGTCGATGCGAAATTACACTGGCAAATATTTCGGTGACTGGCGAGCTATTCAAACGGACTTCCGTTCGTGGTTCGGGGAGAGACGAAGGGAGGAAGGTAACTTGAAAACATGTATCGCGCACAGAGTTGCTTGCCTATCGCGGCTAATTACGCGTAATGCGCCCACACCGGCCGCTTTGTTGTTACACACCGCGAAACTCGTTACTGAAATTTCACGAGCTCCGCGAGCGAGTTATTACGATCGTGCGTTATACGCGCTATCTCGCGCTTTAATCTCTACGCCGACATTATCCTTCTCGTATTGTTCCGATGGGGAGTCTTCCTAGAGGAAGTCGAAGTTGAAATGCGAAGAGCAAGAAAGATAGACACACATATATAAATATATATATATATGTGTGTGTATAATACCACCGTCTCCACTTGCACGTGCGCCTCTATTATGTATTACCTTCCTCAGACTTTAGCTGAGAGTAATGCATATTTCGTATATATTGTATACGATGTGGCCTTCTCGTAACTCTCTTCCTCTTCTCACACTCACTCACTCACTCACTCACTCACTCCCTTCACACTCGCGGATGCCGGATATCCTGCTACGTCACGCAGTAACGAAGTCTTTTGATAAGTTTCCCACGAAGATTACGGGGACTTACGTTTCCGCGTCGCATTGGCCAGCGGCGTTTCTCTCTTTTGTTCTCGACAATTTCTTTCGCATCGCGTGTAGTTTCCGCCCGCGCGAAGAGAAACGGAGGTGATGCAGAAAATCGTTTCTCTTTGCGACGCGGTCTAAAACATAATTGTCTAAGGTACAATTCCAATCTAAATTGTCGACTGAAAAGATTTTTTTTATTTGTCACGTTTCTCTCACGATTAATGTTGATGTTTAAGCGGGGAGCACAGACTTTTGCATAACGCATAAAGCATGTGCATAAGGAATTTCATTGGTCCATTTTCTTATGCATGAGTCAGTGGACCAATCAAATTCTTTATGTATATGGTTTATGCGTTATGCAAAAGTCTGTGCTCCCCGCTTTATTCGAGAAATATATGCAATGAACGTAAAGCCAAATGCGCGACATTGAAAGGATTAATCGGGGCTTCCGCGGGCGCGTCGTCGCGCCGCAAATGGTTGTCCCAAATCCGCTGCGTACGCCCGTCGCGATTTACCTCCGATGACCATGGTAGTAGTTCCGATAGCTGCAGCATTGCTTCCTTCCGATAAGTTCGCATTATCCCGGCGGGAATCGAAGTCGTGGAGAGAATGGGAACGACGTAGGAAGATATTATCCGTATATAACAGTCCATGCGATCTTCCCTACCGTCGAGCAGCCACTTGACGTGCATACATATCTCAGGAGCTCGCGTGCCACTACGCGACGTGCGAACGTAGGGAACGTGTATGCAGAGGAAAGAGAGAAAGAGAAACATAGAGGAGAGAGAGCACTTTAGTGAGTAAGCTGGTAGGGATTTACATGGGACAATATCTCGTCTGATTTATCCTCCAGCTGGGGGCGGAAAAGGACAGACGAGTTCGAAGGATTTATTTCTTCGGCATTTTACACGCGAAATAAAGGAGAAATAAAGAAGGGTGCAGCTATCTTTCTTCTGTTTTTCTTTGTAAACATTCGGTTTATTGCCGCTTATGTGTGCAGGACGCGTGGCCCTGCGCGTTGCGCGCCGAGCCGAGCAGGGCGAAGCGAAGCACATCGACGCGGCATTGCGCGCCAGACAATGCGCTCACGTTTATGGCCTTTACCGTTTAGTTTATCGGTAGAACACTTTTCTCGGCATCTACTTGAGCCCCTGTGGGATTTACGGCCCGACCCGTAAAGTCCGACTCCACTTACTTTCCCCGTGACTTTAACATCGCGCTTTCGCAATCGAGGGTCATGACTTCGTCCGTCAGCAGATAGCGTCGTCTACCGACACGTCCACGGCTCGTTGGCTCGATGTCGCTGTCAACGTGTACTCGCTTCGCGGCAATCTCGGTGAATTGTCGTAAAAATAGACTCGACCTCATCGCCTCTTATATTCGCTCGGTTCTAAAATGTTACTTTACTCATCACGATAGTTTAAATGACATTATCTGAAAAGCCATTTCGCCACGATACAACGAGACCATTATTGTCTGTGTTACTAGTAAAGATCTGTGTATTCATTGTGTCAATGTGACTGTCGACTTGTTATCAAAACGGGTTCCGACTTCTGACCGCGTTTGACCGTTTCTGAACTCTCGTATATACGCACATGCGCGATTTTGTAAGCGAGTCCGAGGTCAACGCGATAACCATCAGGACGTGGGTGACAGTGGGTTGAAATAGCCGAATTGGGTGACCAGGCTTTCAGGACTCTGTAATTTTCGTCCATGCTCCATTACACTAGGACCCGAGGGAAAGTAGTGATGAGAGAGATGATCCTGACAATTTGGGGACGAGCAGCGTAGAGAGATGTTGATAATGCGCAATGTTCCCCAGCAGATATCCAGTCAGTGTCTCTTATTAATAAATCGCTCGTCAGATGCTCGAGCTAATTGACTTCCTCCGACGAGAAAAGCTCGGAAATGACGTCTCATGAAGTAATTTACTTATTGCGCGCGATTTAATCCGAAAGTTACGATCATCTCTCGATGTCTTTCCACGATACCGACATCGTTTCTATTAGTTCTTAAACAAAGCCACGGACCTAATCTCGATGGCTCCGCATACGTACGTTAGAAGGAAACGGTGAAGTTAGTTGGAGACTTCATAGTTTGTCGTTGGATACGAATACATATATATACTCAGTTGACGAGAGTTTCATTCCGGTAAGTTCGCATGGGTTTCCCTGCAGTAATTACTTGTAAATCTCTTACGAATAACGGCAAACGCGAGATTAATTTCGCTTACGAGAACGTGTAATAATTGGTGTCCTTACAACTGTAGAAAGTTGGTATGCAATTAATATCATCGAATTGTTTTAAACTATTAAAATTATAGCTGTTAATTCTCCAGAATTAACGATGAGTTTGCTGAATCCACTCAATTATTAAGTCTCTTTGTCAAAAATATCTTCAATTTTCTTTACGTTAAAATTTATATTCGTTTGCACTAATGTAGATTAATTTTCTCGGTTCAACTTATTCTTCAGATTTTTCTAATTCTTAAAAGTTGAATAGAGATTAAAGATACTTTACATTGAAAACGGACATTAGCATTCATTCTTTTTTTTTTTTTTATGAAAGTTATATATCATTTTGATACTTAAAAATTAATTATTGCTTTTTAATAAACGTAAATTAAATGAATCTTATACAAACCCAGTGTTAATAAGTGTTTACAGATTTTGATGTCAGCCTGAACGGTTATTAACGCCTATATATCTAATGTAAATATCAGTATAAAACTCACGTGTTGAAGATAATAAAAATTTCATTATTTTTAAGATTTCGATATAATCCGTATTATACACGTCATTTAGAAATACATATTGCTCTCAAAAAATATTCAAGACTTTTAAAATATATAAACCAGAAATAAATCTGTATGCTGCAATCGAGCGAGTTAAAAGAAAATCAATGGCGCGCACTCGAGCGATTTAATTTTTCTTCTGGAGATTTTGTTGCTTTCTCCTATTTGTGTTGGAACTGCGGAAAATTTTACCTTATTTTACCAATTCTGCGAACGTCAGGATCAAACGTTTTGAACTTTTTCGCCGTGTACGCATATAAATATATATGTATGCGGAAAACTATTTTCTGCGATCGCACATTGTTTATATAAATTGAATTGAAATTGTTTCTCTTTAACATCCCTCAAGCGGACTACAACTTCCTTTATATAATAGTAATACTTGAAATGAAACATTTCGTTGGAAACTTGATTAAAACTAATAGAAACTTGTTGAAATTAATTAATTGATTTTATGCTTTTGCATTTCGAGCAAAGTTTACGAGAAGCTTCGTAAAATTTAATAGTAAATGGCGTATTTAACTATTATTCTACTCTTTCGCATTTCAATGTGAACACAACGGAATTAAATTATAATAAATTATAAAATCGTATTAATGATCAGAAAGCAATTGTGATGGCAACAATTTATGATCTTTCCGCAGATTTATATGTTCAAAGCATTTGATTCTGGAAAAGATGCAATTTGCCGAAAATCCACGCGGTGAACGAACAATATAAAGTCTTTTTGTAGCGACACGTTGACAAGGGTAGATATCGTTTTGTATTTGAATGTATCTCTCTCGGGCAATTTTAACGTATACAGCACATTTTTATCCGCGCTGACATATTTACATGCGTTTGAAATTTTATTTAAAATGTCGAGTGTGTCGAAACCATCCAAAAAGACTACCATGTGAAAAGCCAATCATTTTGTCGATATTATCGTGAGAAAGATATACGGAGACATATTGCGACATTTCGGCAGATAATATTGAAGACTTTCAGTGATGTATGGATTTCACTCATGACTCACCCACCATTGAGCACGTGGACAAGAACGCTGGCTGACTCGGCTGTGGATGGCGCACAGGTGTAATTGCCGGAATCGGCTGGCAGCGCTCTGCTGATCAGAAGACGTGACGTTCGCGTTTGCTTTTCCGTCACGACACTAATGCCCCCGCGTTGACTATAGTTTATCACGTTATCGCCTTTGTACCTGAAAAATTACACTGGTCAACACGATTTCGATAACATTGGTAAAACCTACATTTTGTGTTTCCCCGTTGATTTCGAATTTTAGACCGTTTGCGTTTGTAAAAACGAAAGCTTACAACTTATAAGTTTATATACATATATTTTTGTTATTTTCATTTATTATATCAACCGACCGCTTAATTTATGTTCTGATCACATTTATATGCATGGAATGCAAGAGATTAGGATTCGACTCCCAGCCGAGGTAATATTTTTTGCAATAAGAGAGAGAGAGAGAGAGAAAATTAATTATTTACGGATTTTATAACATGTCGTCAAAGTAAAATCCATTAAAAAAGTTTCTAAACATCTTTATTAAAATATTAAATGAAGTATACGAATAAATTATATGTACGTGAATGTAAACATTTTTTCCGAATTAGCGTATTAGCAATCTATAGATTTTTAAGATCATCAAGATCGCAGACAATTAAAGATCACGCAAGATCTATAAATTCTAAAGATCACCGCCTTTAGAGATTAATTACAGCGGAAATTCACTTCGTTAAAGATTCATTTTACAAACGCTCGTGTGTTGAAATTTTTCGATAAAATAGATTCTATTGAATAGAGGTCACTGTAGATTTGGATTTCGCGAAACTTTCGGCTGTGTCGAAATACATGTGGAACAAATTCAATCTGCGCTATCGTCAAGGGAGAACGCCGAAACTCACCAATAGATGAAGGATGGTGGTTCCGGCGTTTGCAGCACGATGCAGGTCAGATTGATGTCACTCCCGCTTTTGATGTAGAGCTCCGAATTGCCGTTGATCTTTGCCTTCGAGACTGCACACGAGGACAGAATAAAGTTAAAGTGGTTTTTAGCCATAGAGCGCATGCGGGTCATCGAGTAAATTCTGGACCAAGAAGTATGATCGCAATTTCGTTTAAACCGCCGCGCCGCAAAGCTGCAATTAACTCATGTCGAACCGCTCGAAACTGGCCATTTAAAAATTCACTTAAGAAACAAACGGCTTCAGAAACTGTTATTAAAGCACATCTGGGAATTTGTAATCGCGCGCGCTTAAAACATAATCCTCTGATATCCTTACGCTGATTTTTATTTATTAACCAGAATCGTAAACATAAAATTTAACATCTTCTCACTTATAAAATTTATTACTGTTTTTAAATCATTATTCCATCATAATTTACTTTCGATTATAATTCCGATTATACGATTATAATTTACATCTATAATTTTTTATTTCCTTCTAACGATTGTGTAAAGATATTTAATTAAAATGTAAAATTATGTTCTGTAAAATTTTTTTGTATATCAATTGAATCTTATTTGCTATAAATGAAAAAAGAAGTATTCATACGTACCTACTACGCTCAAGTTGAAAGCTTGACTAATTTTGGGCTCCGTCGAAACCTGGCATTCGTAGATTCCGCTGTCTCGCACTTGCGGCGAACTGATTTTCAGGGTCCACTCATCGCTGCCATCGCTGTGCAACGATTGAAAACGCTGGTCGTTCGTGTATGTTAGGATGCCGACAGTGAGAATATGCAAATCTCGCTGTCTGATCCACGAAACCTGCGCAATCAAGAGGCATCTGCTGTTATAGCAGCAAAATACACCAAACTGGACATTCAACCGAGAAATACGGCTCGTTATACTGCATAAATTCTATGTCACAACCTCTAATGTGCATTTCACACGTTCTTGAAAATATCACAGTGTAAAAAGTAAAGTGAAAAAAGATACGCAAAATTATACTCCGTAAATAAAAGATACTAAGATTTTTAATTCTTCGGAGCTTTTTGTCAACAATTCGTTTGCACACAATAATTATTGCCTATAGATAAATTTTCTTACATGCATTATTGCGTATAAATATTATATAAAATTAAAAGCTAAAGGTACGTTTGCATACACGTATTATTGCCTTAAATTAATCATTAGAAAATGTTTGTAGGATTCTCTCAAAAATAGAAGATAATTATTATTAGACCACCGGAGAAAGTTATGAAAAACAGAATTTATTATTTATTGTTGAGATAGACATATTAGTGTTTTTTAAGCTTTGTACTCTTGAAATAAAATTAATTGCATTTTTATTTGTCGGAAGGTAATTGTAGAAAATATTTTGTTTATATATAATGTACAGAATGTCTTGTTTAAATGTCGCAGGCAAATATTTTGAAAAATATAAAAGATGTGAAAAATTCCAGTAAAAATTGTATAATTTGAAAGGGCACAAATAATGGTAAAATTAATTTAGAAAAAATCAAATTTTTTAAGTTGTATCTAGGTCACTGTCATCTCTTAAGATGAAATTATATATTATAATAATATTATATTTTAATATAACATGATTTCTTAATTACTCTGTATCTGTATAAAAATATTAAAATTAGGAATGACATCGGATATCATTAGTATCCGGTAATAAATCCAGCAGAAATTTTATATTGAAAGCTTACGTCATTTGCTGAATTTTATTCTTTTCAGCTGAACTTCTTGTACAGTTCATCTTTTCCTTCTTTTTGTTTCCACATTGAAGATAAAGAAAATTATTATCTATTTTTTTCTTGCTTTTCTTTTTTAGAAGTTTTGACCGTATTTCCGGGGAAATATCTGGTATCCGATCGAATAATTGCCCTATCGGATATCCGAAAAGAATGTAGCACCGGATATCCGACATCCGGTATCTGATAATTTTACGATACAGTGCATCCCTATATAATAATTAAAATGGAATTATTAAAATTAAGAATTTACGAAATATTGTATTTCATATTAAAATGTATCAGAATAAAGTATAAAATAAAAAAATTAATTTTAAAAAATCAATTTCTTAATGCCGTATTAAGGTGGTTGTCTTATTTAAAAATGAAATAATATGATGTTTAACATAATATGTTTTTCTAATTATTTTGCATATAAAAGTATTAAGGAAAAATTATCAAAAAATGAATCATTCTCGGATAATATATAAATAGAATAATTTTACTATTGTACGTATTCTTCCATACAACTTTTTCGAACCTCATATAACTTTTATCTGAAACGTTTTTTCATGTCTATTACATTTTTCGAATTTGCCTAGAGTACTTAAATAGAACATTTAAAACGGCTGATACATTACAGTTAATAAAAAAATTATATTTTCTATATTTTTATTACTCATCTTTCAGCGCATATATATATATATATATGTGTGTATATAATTGGTTTTATTTTAAAGAATATTTCAAAAGTTCATTTCAACAATTAATAATAAATCTTAATTTTTATAACATTCTCAGAATTTGGTGAACAAATAATTAATATTTTCTATTTTTAGAAGATCCCACAAACATTTTCTAATAATTAATTTAAATTCTGCATTTAGGCAAAAACTAGCTCTTTTCATATCCTCTTTTATTGGAAGATGTAAAATAAAGCAAATTAAATTGGTTGATATTTTTAACAAAAAGGTTCATAATTAAGCTTCGGAAGATTAAAGCTTGAAATATTGACGTCGAAATTTTTTTCGGTATAATTTTCGAATAGCATTACATATACGCGAATGCGATCAAATTACGTATGCGCAAAAAAGAAAAATCTCTGATTGACATCCGACTGTCGCGCGACAATCTGTCACCGGTGCGAAATCAAGGCTTAGGCGAAGCGCAATCGCGACGGTCGTGCTGATTCTACGATCGCAAATATAAACGTGCGTCCAGATGTGCGTGCGCGCGTTATTGAAGGCCGATGGCGTGGCTGTGAATGGCGGAAGCAGGGAGCTAAAGGGAGATCCGCAGAGGGGCAAGAGGGTAGGGTGCGAGAGAAATTTGATTTATCGGCGATTACGATCGGTGATTGGACTCTGACGGGTTCCTGTGCGTCATGCGGTGATGCATGAGCAACGGCCGATAACGCGTAATGTCACCGTTCGCCCGGGTGACCTATGCGCCTACCCGCGAAATTACTTTGCATTAGGACCGCGAGTGATGAATACCGGGTTAAACAGCGGCTCGAGCGACCCGCTAATCCACTAAACCGCCCGAAAAATTGACGCCGCGACTATGTGTTTAGTACGCACAATGCTCCTTTTATAACATGTAACATCACTTTAACCACTTCATATGACCAAACAATAGCGGAATATAAATTAAACAGACAGCGGAATATAAAAGTGATTTAATTAAAAAAAAAAAAAAGTAAAATGAAAAAGAAAATCTGCAAAGAAATATAAATTATTTTTCTGGTAAAAATATGTATGTTTTTGTTCCCTCATAATATAACATCAAAGAGATTTCTACACAAAGAGTTAATTTTCTACGGCACAATTAAATTATATAACTATTTAACAAATATCAGTCAAAAACATTCAACTTCCTGATTATTTTTTGCTAAAAATAACGTTTTCTCGATGTGAATCATAATTGGAAATACAATTTCAATGTTAATGAGATTATTAATACATGTACCATCGTAATTTTCTAAATTTGCGCAAGAAAAAGTACATGCACGTTGAACCATGAAGAGTTATACTTGGCCCGCAAGTTCGCAGACGGAAATAAGAAGAAAGAAAGAACGTTGGAAAAGAGTTACAAAAGCCTTGGCGCGCGAAGATGTGAACTAGGTTACTCTATATACTCGTATATATAAAAGTACGATGTCGCGTGGGTAAATGAGGAATGAACTCGTATACGAATTGCAGGTCGCGCGAGTGCATTAGCAAAGAGAGCTGGCAAAGTTTGTCGAGGAAACGATCGCGGATTAATGCCTCGCCGACGCTGTAACTGCGAATTTATTTGACTTCGAATTGCGTGATTTCGATCGTTGGGATTTCCACGCTCGCACGTACGCAAAATTTATCAACGTCAGGCGGAGAGTTCGCGCGCGAAAGGGCGGGGATAGAATTTGAAAAATACGCTTTGCAAGAAATAATAATGACATAATTGGAAATTTCGTGATAATCAAACGCGAGTGTGCGTGACTTAATTTTGTGCAGTGACAAATTCATTGCGTTTTCGCTCCATTGAATCCCCTCGCAATAACGAAATTTAATCGCGAAAACTTGTTGACGCATAATCGAACGTTAAAACGTCCGTCGAGCTTTGCATAATTCACGTAATAAGAAGATTAATCGGTTAATTGATTTTTTTTCTTTGAAAAACACGAGCGACATCGACAGCGTTGCGAGATTATTGACTATCGCAAGTTCCAGCGAAATAATCCCGCAATATTTTTCGCATTCTGTATTCTCGTCTTGTACGTTCTATCTTTAATCTTCCCGATGGATAAGTTCGTTAAAACCGTGCTTGGTTGGATTACTGGAGGAACGAGTAATATTGACGTGTACAATATCGTTGCAACAATGGTACATTAACTAAAGTAAATCCTCGAATAATTTTCAGAAAAACAAAAAAGTAGCAATCTTTTGCTTTTGCTGCAAAAATAAAAATTTAAAAAGTAGAAATAAACAAGAACAAATTTTCTATTGACGAGAAAAGATTTTAAATGCGCGACATAAAAATATTTCGGAAAGACTCAATTGATAATCGCGCTATTGAATGATTCAAGGATAAAAATGTCTCTATGTGGAAAAAATGGTTTTTGCGTTCAGAAACTTTATTCGGGTACACCCAGGAATCATTTTGTCTTCGTTTAATATTGGTAAATATTTTTTGTTTAATATTGATAATAAAGACAAAATAATACATCTTGAATTCTCGGATGCACCCCTAAAGTATCTAAAAATTCTAGATTTCGATTTAAAAATAAGTTTTGGATCATTAGAATAATTGTGTAGGTGTAAAAGACTGTTTGCTATAGAATGCAATATCCATAGCTTTTACCGCTCATCATGTTTTAGAATATAATTTTATACATAATAGTTCTAAATGGTCCAACAAATTTATCTTCAGATCTATATTTAGCTAAATTTTTAGGTGTTTTAGCGCAAAATTATTTTTTCTAAACAAATTAGAGAGAATAAAGGATAATAGGAGTCGCGTGCAGAAGACGTCGCGCAATTAAAAACACACCACTAATAAGTGACAAAAACCATTTATTCCAATAACGCTCTTTCTATTTATAGTGTTATTATTATAATAAAAGTACAATTAGAGCGTTATTATTATAATAAAAGAGCGTTATTGGAATAAATGGTTTCTGTCACTTATTAGGGGTGTGTTCTTAATTGCGCGACGTCTTCTGTGCCCGACTCCTATTACCCTTTATTCTCTCCAATTTATTTTTGAATTGTAAGGAGTCTTAATTGATTTTATTATTATAAGGTTATTTTTTTCTATATATAAAACGAAAATAATCTTCGAAATTAGAATTAACATCGCGATATTTAATGGACTCGCGCGCGATCTTAATTTATACTCGCGAAATACAACATTCTCGAACACGAGAAGCGGTGTTATTACAACGACCGGGCTCTTGATAAGGAAACTTAGGACTTACCGCACGATCGCCAAGATTGCGCACCCTGCAGTGCAGGTAAGCGGATTGCCCGACGGTAGTTGTGGTCTCCCTCTTTGTCGTGTTGTCGAAGTAAGGCTGACTAAAGGGTTGCTCCCAGTAAGAGGACGGATGGTGTTCCACTACAGATCTTCCGTTCTTGGCCGCACATTCTGTGAAAAACAATAAGGCTCATTAATGGGATTTATTTATTGACACACTCTAATAAAGATTTTGACGCGAAATATATTGGAATTTAAATAAATCTTCGAAGCTTTAAAAGCTCTGAATATAATTAAATTTCTTAAATGCCGAGAATAGCGGAATTCTCCGACAATATAGCGAAATTAATTAAATTAATCGGTATACCCGTGACAACATCGAATTAATAGCAAATTTGGTTGGATGCACTCAATGCACACTGGTGCGCATTAAAGCCGTCGTGCTCAAATCGACATAAAAATATGTGTTTAATATAAAATAGAAACGGATTATATAAACTCTCTCCATGACATTTTTTATATCTAAATTTTATTGTACTGTTAAGTAAAATCTATATTTTATAATTTTAACTATTTGCATTTACTTTTACACAGATTAAAACATTGTACGATTTCAATATGCACTAATGCGCAATAGTGCGTCCAACTGAATTCGCTATACATAAAAAGAGAATTCATATTATGCCCAAGCATTCGGTCAGCGCAAATTAGAAATCATCAAAATACGTAATTGGAAACGGATGGCTTAATGACATATCGATAATTGCTGGGAACTCACGCAAATCGGATTGCGGCGCGACAATGCGATAAATTATGCGTTAACTGGCGAGACAGAATGTACAAAACAGGATTTCGAGCTGATCGAAACACGTAATGTGATTAACTTCACGTATAAAATCTCGGTCACGTGCTTTCATATAAGGAAATCGATTCTTTCCGCTCAATGATTCCCATTACCGGAGCAGGTACTGCCGAGCTTATCCGGTTGAATTTGAAGCGACCTGAACTTGTCGCGACGAATACAGAAATTCAAATCTGGAATCGTTCGAGACGTCGTTTGCTGTGGACGAATGAACTTTGGTAGAGCTCCCTTTGGGAGTCCTACCTCGAAAATTCCTAGCGTATTACGCAAAAGCATTCCCTACGACTCCTACGAGGACCCAAATGGAACGAAAATCTGATCTATGCCTAGAGATTGCGTGATTTACAGGCAGAGCGATCGAAGTTCGTTCGTTAAGTGAAATTACGCATATATATGTAAAACAGTACTTATTCTGAATATCTACTAATGTAAATTTTATTATTCACAGATTTCAACTTATCATTAATTTAATATTACATCTTTAAAATTTTAATATGTCATTTAACATATTATTAAGATCTAATAAGATGCTATAAGCATCAAAAATTGTGATATTACTACGGTAGTTAACTAGAGTTGCGTTGTAAGTCTGAAGGATTTTCGGCACGCGTTTGATGGAACCTACGTACGTGGTATATAAAATTCACACTATAACATATCTTATATATGATCGCACCAATAACAGCGAATTGCTCTCATTAGCCTTAGTATTCTTGTTATCTTAAATTTTATTACTTTTTTCGTAAAACATGATGGATCTCGATGCATAATATTAAAAAAAACCCATTTTGTACTTCCATTAAAACTGGTCCTTATTAAAATTTTTGTGTTAAATTCTTAATATATCCAAGTGTTAAACAATATAATTACGTTATTTTGTGTTAAATTGATATTTAACACTTTATTGTAAAAGTAACACAATTTATGAGTAAGTGAACAAAGAATATAAAAATAATAATAATACAGTTATAAAATTTTTAAATAATTTAATTTTATTGAAAAAACATCTTTTACAAATTGTTTCTAAATAATGTCGAAGTATTACATTTTGTTAATTTTGTTACATAATTTTTATGTTATTTTCTAACATATTTATCTATATTAAATTAATATAAAAATTTGAATGGATACATGAAATATGTTAAATTTAACACAATTTTCCAACTGTATGGTACAGATATTTTATCCATCTACCTTTCTTCCAAACATTTTTTAAACAAGTTACATTAAAACTGGGTATAAATGACTATCGACGACGGAAACACTAGTGTTAAAGAATAATGATAAAAATAAAAATATATAAATGGAAAGGGGGACAATAATAAAATAAAATTATTGTGGTGTCGATCGTCATCTCATTAAAGATACTTAATAGACGTTGAGAAGAACTTTTTCAGTTTCCTTTTAGGTGTAGCTGTTTTTCAAAGTAACGATCTGCCGGTGTGGCGTAAAATTCATGCAACAGTCCCTCATCAATTTTTTCAACCCGCGTCCTCATTCCTCTCAGACCGCTCGCCTCACTGATTACTTTATTCTAAGAAAACGATACTCTTGGTGGCTACATAAAACCTTCCGAGAAAGCCTTTACGTACGTTATAAGAAGAACAGAATGAAAAAATTTACGAAAGGATACTGCCAAAGAATCTTTATTCCCATGTTGATCCTCCATAAACAATGTCTTGCGAGCACGTAATAATGGAAGCTTCAATTGACACACTTTTTTTTATGTTTAAATATATTATTACGTAAGTTTCAGTGTATATATATATATATATATATACACTGAATATATTGCTATACGTATAATATACTTAAATAAAATAAATTTTATACGTTATTCCTTTATTTCATAAATAACTACAAAAATTTAATTTCCAAAAAAAAGAGAAAACTACAATATACACATTTTCATTTTGGCCAAAAAACAACCCTAATTTAATATTCTCCTTTGAATATCAATTTAACACAAAATGCTCAAATAACATAATCACATTTACCTTCGGATATGTTAAAAATTTAATTCAAAATTTTAAAAATCGTATTTTAATACAAATACAGAGATTTTTTAATGTAAGGAATATGTATATCAGAATATAAAGTATAATAATATAGAATGTATAATAACACTTGTAATTTACTCATTCCGCTATGGAAAATTTCCTTTCTTTCATTTGTTAAGGCAACGATCGGTTTGTATGTTTCGCACGAACAATCAGTTGATACATCATTCAAATTAACAATCGTGAAATTCTTCTGTTTCAAAGCAAAATCCGTTCGGGAATCCCTAACCGCAGGTCTGAATCGTCGATATTCTGCTCGCTCGAAATACCGCACGAAGTTCCACAATGCAACACAAAAAGCAGCCGATTCCAATTGCCGACTGTTAATCGGGTTTTTCGCGTTACAACCGTTGGTACGACGAGTGTGGGTGGCAAAAAAGGCTTAAAAACTGCAGGACGGGTTAGAGCGAGTTCTGAAGGGATGAGTTTGTTAACCCCGACAGTGCTCTTCCTCTTCTTCGTTGAAAGTTCGTGGCGAAGGAGTCCAGCGGGGCGAGAAGCTTCAGGTGTTTACTAATGGCCTGCGGCACTGAAACCAATCATTCGTTGATGGCCGCCTTTCTCCACTCCCCGTTTGTTCAAACGTGACGTATTTATTTTCAGTCGCGTCAAAGTGCTCGGCTTTTATTTCCACCCATATTAACGCAAAACTCAAAAGACATTCAACGATAACATTGTGAGTCTAGATTTCGTGTACGCCAAACGTTGATCGGCTTCAAATAACGTGTCCTACAGTTCAAGAAAGAGAGAAAGAGAGATCAAACACGTAACATAAAGAAATTAAATTTAAAAATCTACATGAAATTAAACTCATGACTTACATTGAGTAAACTAAAAATATTTTATTATCAGTTGAACAATGACTGACAACAAATATTATGTCGTGATTGTCAAATTTAAACACAGAGATGTGTCTCGAGGTGTACGTAATTGTAAAATAAATTAAAAATCTTTAAATAAAAAAACAACACAAGTTTTGAGAAATACACTTCATCAACAGTATAATTAAATCGTAGAAATGAAGTTTCTCGGGAGGTTTCTCTTTGATTTTTACCAAGATGAAACTTCCTGCTGAGTTACGGCAAGGCGATAGTCTTTACGTCTCGAGCAGCAACCGAATTGCAAAAACTTGGGGTCTCCCAAAGTCATATCTCAACTATTTTCTCGTTACACCGTCCGCAACGAAAGCAGCGAGCGAAGAAGAGAAACCTACGATGGAGCACGACGAAGACATACAAAGGCAATGTACAAAGGGTTCTCAAGCCTCTTGATATTCCATTCACGATGACTCCCAATCATTTCTCAAAGATTCTCAAGATATAGTGATATCGCAGAAATAAAAATAAAGTTCTATTAAAAGTCAAATCGTTACATTTACAGAAATGTAAAATATAAATAAAGAAATGAGAGAAAGAGAGAGAATCAGATTCGTTTGTTTAGTTCTTCAAGACAAACGCTCGCTCAAATGTATTTGTTAGCTACTAGAAGCAATCCGTTTGAAGAGATTACGAGACGCGGAGAATGTCGTCGAGGAGTCCGCTTTTCGCGAAAGTAACGCAACACTTCTCGTTGAAATCCAAGTAGCTTATGTTCCCAGCCTCTCAGCTTGTTCAGTTGCGTGGAGAACTCGAATAGAGCGATATGTCTTCGGATTCAGAGGATGTATTCCGTTGAGACAGAGACAGGCAAAGAAAGAGAGAGAGAGAGAGAGAGAGAGAGAAACGCACGAAAATTTTCCCGCAAAATTCGGAAGAAGTCGAAAGAAAAGTTTCTATTTAAGAAAGTGGAGAACGTTCGACTCCGTACTTACATTTTTCTGGACAGCATAAGTTTCGTTGTCATTTTGGATTTGCTCGGTGGGTCATTTTTCGATTGAATTTACTTCGAACATGATGTACATCAATAACAATTAAATGTAAATATATAATATATGACATACAAATATATATACTATTATATAATATATGCTAACAAATATAATCATCTTGAAAAAGTTATTAGGTGATTATTTCACTAAAAATTATTAATAGTATTTTTCCGTAATCAATCGAGTACGTATTAAACTCATTATTGGCAATTCATAAAAATCGTTTTGTTACGCGGTATTAATCGCGACGAAGTTATTTAATAACATCGTGGTTGCGGAAAACCGCCGTCGTTTGAAAGATATCAATTAACTTTTCCAATATATGTAATGCCATATCTATCGGATCAATTGAATACCAATTGTCATCGGTATTATCGGGAAA